CAACATTGAACAATATTATTCATCTTGAATGGGGTGCAACAATATACAAATAATGAATGTTTATTCGTGCAATGGTAAGAATATTTTCATGAGGTGAAAGATGGAATGTTCCATTCAGCGAGGCGACAGCCGAGTTGAATGGAACATTCCATCTTTCACCGAATATAATACCAAAATAGACTGATAGATTCGTATGACGGATGCGATTTATCGAAAACACAAAGAGTGCAATGAAATAAAACGTATAGTACAATTGCACTCACAAAGAGTGCAATGGAACGTATTCCGTTGCACTCTTGAGAAATGGAATTTTCTATTCAATATCACGTGACCATAAACAGCCAAATAAACGTAGCACAATATAGCACAATATTGTTGCAACCTGTTTTTATCAACATTGCAACTACAAGTTCATGATTTTTACGCGTGTATACAGTCATGCAGGAGAGGAAAAACGTTTTCTCCGATTTAGACACGTGTCCTGACAATTCCCGGGAAATTCCTGTAACACCGGTTTTACACCCAAAATACCAGCCATATGGCAGTGTCAAGATAGTATGCTATCACAAAAAGTTGAGTTCGAAGTTATATGGAGAGAATTGTAGATTACATTATTAATAAAAGATAAACTGTCAGATAAAATTCGTTCTTCGAAAACTTTGTGGTTGTCATTTTACCGGTAACTACTTCCTTATATTTATTCAGTTTTATAGGGAAATTACATGTGTTCGCAATGATCTAGCAAACAACGAATTCGATTAGTTTTATCCCCATTTCAGCGTTTTATCTTCATTTCAGCGTTTTATCCCCATTTCAGCGTTTTATCCCCATTTCAACGTTTTATCCCCATTTCAGCGTTTTATTCCCATTTCAGCGTTTTATCCCCATTTCAGCGTTTTATCCCCATTTCAGCGTTTTATCCCCATTTCAGTGTTTTATCCCCATTTCAGCGTTTTATCCCCCATTTCAGCGTTTTATCCCCATTTCAGTTTCCGCTTTCAGTTTCCGTTTCCGCGATTCAGTTTCAGCGTTTTATCCCTACCCTGTACTATTTGCTATTTTGGTAAATGCCTAAAGATTTTAACTCTTGTAAATAACCTAGATTCTAAAGCATATTCATGTACTATTTTATAACTTATTTCTATCCATTGTAAAGTACTCGTTAATTCAGTTTTTTGTAACTGCAAGAGAGTTCTAATAAACTATTATTATTATAAGACTGGTGTAATAGGTGAGTTTCAAGCCGCTCACGAGACTAACGGCAGATACAGCTCAACTGACTGTCTCGTCCCCTTGAAACCCGCAAGAGCCTGCAAATTTGGCGCCTGATCTTAATTTTTTCGAAGCAAATTTGAGAGATTATGGAAGAGTGAAATGAACTCATGAAATGCAAATGATTGTCCGTGTGAACTGGAGCATGAGACGCAAACATCGTGGTCAAAAAGCGCCAGCGGGTGATGTCAGTCGAAAATGGTTGCAACTGAATTGAATTGAATGACGCGCTTAGTGGGGATTCAATATTTTATTTTTTACACAACGCTGGCACGCTGGTTACGCTGCCAATTTTACTCTATGCCTATATTTAGCTGACACTCTCATGTCAACGCAGCTCTCTTTAATTAATTGAAATTCAGCGATATTTTAAGCTTCAGTTGCGGTCAGTCATTAGAGTATCATTAGATCCTCCTAGTCTGCTCGACTACCGGCTCCAGTGCCGGTGCAAAAAATATCACACGAGAAATTCGTGTTTTCAATTTCTAGTTTCGCTTGGGTATCGTGTATATACATCAATATATTAGCATTTTAATTATTTGTCTCGATTGTTATGCAAAGCATTGGCGGTGCTCAAGTACTCTATGTCGTGTGAGATCATCAGCGTCAAGTATCAAGTGAATTTCAATTACGACTTACGATATTTCTTAAATAAAGGACAAAATGAAGGACAATCGTCGTACATCGCAACATGCTGCTCAGTCTTTACGACGTAAAGCACAAGAATTCTTCCTTATGGATACAATCGAGAATATCCTGAGATCAAAACCGACTGATGTGATCGTTGGTGCTTTCATCGCTGTATCTATCACGGTACTAACATTCATTATTGCCCTGTTTTGGGGGAATTACACAGTCGCTATGTTGGTGATATTTATATGGATTATGTCTCCTTGAACAGTACAGTAGGGGATATTTTAGCCGCATATTTCAAACCGCAAGATATATCGTAACGCGTGATTATAATTCTGACACAGCTGTTTGGACAAGCGGACGTATAACTCAGAACGATCAGCCGTCTACTATGATACGCCGGCGAAATTGGCAACCGAGGACACACGATATCTGTAAGAAACATTATAAACATGCTGAACTTACTTACATGATAAGAAAACTTTGTTTTACTTTCAGCCAGAAAAGATGAAAGCAGTTTAATTGTATAAAGTTTGTGTAAATATTACAATATGCCATATGCCAAATATGGCAAGACATGAATATTGCCTTGCTGTGAGTATTGTCTATTGATATGAATTACCATTATTATTAAATGTAAAGCCTAAAGGTTTTTCATACATGGAAATTCCGAGTGGAAGATTTTTAGACCTAAAAATTAGGTAAAAATTAGTCGAAATTTTAGGTTTAATTTTAAGACCGAAATTTTAGGTCAAATGACAAAAATTGTATGCATAATCTGCCGCTCGCGAAATTCCATCTACAAAAACCATTCAACTGTTAGTTCTACCAAGCGAGATCGGCCCGAAATCTTAATAATATTTACCCATTATTCATTAATCTTTAGCTATTAATATATGACTTTGTCTTTGGAACAAACTAGAAAAGTTATAACTACAAGGCAGTGTGTATTTATAGAATAATTTAATATTTTAATTGCAGTGTGTATTTATAGAATACTGAAAAGTTTGGAAAATATATTAAACATGCCGCAGTCCGAAGTGTAAAGGATAAGCTTCGGAAGTTTATAGTTCGTATATATATATATATATATATATATATATATATATATATATATATATATATATATATATATATATATATATATATATATATATATATATATACCGGTATGGTACTTATTATGTTTTACATACATTTTAACGCTTTGTTATTCAGGTATTTAGTAAAAACGTCAACATGTTTTGTTTTGTTTTGTTTTGTGTGGCAAATTTCCCAGTATACTGACTCAGTGTCATGTTCGGGTCAAAATGTGGGCTACTCTGCAGGCGGTATTACACAACTTTACTATGCATGGCAGCCGTGAAGCCCTGGGAACGAGGTTGATGCCACGGCGTAACTAACGAGATTTTTCAAAAATGTCCAGACGGTTCAGTTTGGCCACAACTGACGGCTACTACTAAACAAATCCCGTAGTAGTGTAGTCTATAAACCTGCGTCAAACCTGTTGCATTTAGAAGCGCCCACGATTATGTCATTCAGAACATAACCTGATTTAACCTCTAATTAAGAATTATATTGAACATTGAACATTTATTTAAACACGGTAAAATCTTCAGTGTATAGGTACTATTTACTATATGCATCTACTAGACTAGTTTTAACACTAAATATTATATATAAAAAAAAACACTGATTTCCAAGATTGCCGCCACAAAAATCGATTGATTTCATTTTTGAAATGCCTTATTGGCTGTACGTGCAGAATGAGGGAGCGTATTCCATAAGGCCGTGCCCCACTGTAGCAAAAACTACGCTTCAAATAGTCCGTACGTGGTTTCGATTCAGCTTCAATTCAGTATTTCTTAAGTTATAGTCTGTGCTGCGAAATGAAAACAAGTTTTGCAAATACTCTGGCGTTAGCTTTATTGATTGTTTTCTACATCAATATAGACTTGTGCTTTTTCCTCCGTAATGATAGATTGTCCCAATGCAGCTTCTCTAAGAGAATGCCTGGCATCGTAACTGGACTTCGTAATCACTCTGGCAGCCCTATTTTGTAATTTTTGCCGCATAATGTAACATTAAATTCCTACAGTAATCAAAGTGAGGTTGGATTATTGCATTATATATATATCAATATGTTTGAACCAGGAAAGGTTTTTGTCAATAATTAGACCTAGTGATTTAGCTTTGTCAATTTGTTTAATTGCATTGCCACATGCAAGTCAGTATTGATATTTTCGTTGGAATGAGCATGCACACGTTGACGGGATCCCGATTATCATTTCTGTCTTGGCAATATTGAGACTTAGTTTTGGTTCGCTTCTAACCAACATTTCAGTTTTTTAAAATTTGAATTGATTACATTTTCAAGTTCGGACAATGTATTAGCCGCATAACTAATATTCGTATTGGTCGGCGAACATTCTCGGTAATGCTGCACTGAGACAATTAGGAAGGTCATTAATATAAACGAGGAAAAGTAATGGCCCTAAATTACTGCCCTGCGGTACACCATAAGCAACTGGTACAGAAGATGACAAGCAACATTTACATGGTAACATGGAAAAGACGGAGTCGGAGTTCCGGAGCCGGAGTCCCGGTCTCCCGGAGTCGGAGTCCCGGAGTCTTAAAATGTGGAAAACACGGATCTTATGGAAAACACGGAGTCTGACGTCAGAGAAAAATATGGAATACACGGAGTCGACATAAAAAAATATGGGAAACATGGAGTCCGACGTATTGGCAGCATGAAATATGGAAAACAGTAATCATGGGAAAATATGCTGTGACATTTGATCACCAAAATATTCGGTATCGGCACCCTGTTGCGTTTAAAGCCCAAATCGCGCAATTTACTATCATTTTTAGCACATAAACCCGAATTTTACCTAGTTATAGTTGACTTTTCCCAAAAGTACGCACGGCTTTATGCTCTTTGCGATACTCTCTTTATGTCTACATGGCTTGCTTTTTATTCCGCGCAATATATCCTGTGTCCCTTTGGCCATGAACTTGAGCGACCGGCCGCGGTATTGATATAGATTATTACTACGGTGAACCCGTGGTTGAAATATACAGCGGCTGTATTCTTTAATGTATGCGTAAACGACAGAAGTACGCACGGATTCTGAAAGCCTGGTGTTTCGCATCTACGCCAACCGGGGAGACGCTACTTTGTTTGAAGCAAATCACATTGAAATACCCAAATCTGTTTTCTCTTTCTGCACTAATACTTCATTTTGTAAATAGTCAACTATATAAATCAAGCAAAATTACAGCTATTACAACAACTCAGATATACTGACAATTGAAGGTTGCAGCAAGACTGACTTACAATTCGTGAGGCATAATCTGAGTATCCTTGCCTTTTCCTAAGTTATTATTTTTAAGTTTTTGTTCACTGTATTTAACATAACAAGTTCGCTTTTTTAGTTTCTTTCTTTCCAATTCCGCGAAGCTTCCTCGCCGTTTCACTTCCTCCGTCCCACTCCCCTCTCAACACCGGCGATCGCAATATCTTAACACTCTCCCCCCGTGCGGAAATTAAATCTCTAATTGAGCAACGTCTAACACAATATACTGAAAATACTTTAGGAATGCAAAGAATCCATTGTCACTACAATCATTCTGTTCTAGTTATACTAGTCTGCATCAAGTTCTTCTCTGGTGGCTATAAGACACAGCTTGTGGATGGGTCTGTCATATTCTCCTGTTTGCGTCTTCATTCTTACTTTTCTCACAAGACCGTCGCTTCCGGGATGAACTTCGGTGATAAGTGCCATCTTCCATTGGCATCTTTTATGTTTTGGATCAAGCTCCAGAACCAGGTCCCCTACTTGAACGTTGTCTCTTTTTCGGAACCACTTGTTGCGGGGTAATAGATTGGGTGCAAAATACTTCAACCAGCATTTCCAGAAATCGACGATTCTGTTTTGTGTGCATCGTAAAAGATCTCTTGGGTTGATTCTATCTTCCGGGGTTGGCTGAGGTGGTGAATTATGCTGCCCAAGAAGGATATCATTCGGTGTTACTGGTGGACTCTCCCAAACGCCATCCGAACTGGGATACAAAGGGCCACTATTGATCACGTAGCTGATTTCTGCGAGGAATGTTGACCACTGTTCTGCCGTAAACGCTTGACTCTTGCAGGTAACATTGAAGGCTTGTCGGACGGACTTAATAAGAGACTCGACGACACCGTTCTGATGACTGGCATGAGGCACATTCCACAGCCATTTGAAATCGCACGAGAACTCCTCGGTCAGTACACTCTGGATTCTAGCGTTGTCCCAATTCTTCATTATTTCGTTCAGATAACCTTGTGAACAGACGAAATTAGTACCACAGTCTGACCAACAGACATTGGGATGGCCGCGTAAGCATGCGAAACGGCGAAATGCCAACAAAAATGTCTCTGTGCTTTTATCGGTGACGAGTTCCAGGTGAACTGCTCTGGTCGTCATGCAGGTAAAGATTATCACTTGGGCTTCCTTGAGTGTCTTTCTGTTCATTCTGATCTGCACCGGTCCAAACATGTCCATTGCGGTATTGGAAAATGGTGGCAGTCCGGCCGCGACTCGAA